GTTGCATAGCTGGGTCCCGGTGGTACATCAGGGGGTTGAACGGGCTGCGTTAGGAAGATGGAGGAAGGTGGAGGCTGTTGGCAGGGTAGAAGAACCGGTTTTGTTTCTTGCAAAAGGCCCAAACCATTTATGCAGCAGCACTTTGCCCTGCAGCCATGGACTGCACCCTCCTCCCACATGGACCTCCTCACACTTGGGATGGCACCTCTGGAGTCTCTTGACAGAAAGAGTCATATTTGGTATGGGTATGAATGCCACAGCTTTAAAAATGAAATCTAGTTAAGGAATATCTTCCCCGAATTTCTTCTGCAGAAAGACTGGAGGAGAAAACAATTAGAGAATTAGAGACCTGGAAATGACTGGTGGAGCTCGTGCTTGCTGGAGTCCTGAAGTCTTTGCTCACATGTCTTTATACTCTGCAGGCAAGCACATATTTGCCCTGCCATGCTGTTATTCCTATAGAAAAAGGAAAAACAAACCTAGAAAATGTGTAGGTAGCTGCAGTGTTAAGGCTGTGACTGAGGCAGGTCTGTACTGTTTCACTGCCTCCTTGCACTCCTTCTCAACCTTGCCTTATATCGACTGCCTAAATTGTCTAAGACACGGGCCATTTTTGGCCACCGAACAGTACTTATGCATAAGATCCCCACCTATTATTGGTTTTTATTTGTCATTGCAACCAAAAAACATGCTTAAATTTAAACTTAAGAAATTATTTTGTCGTAGGGTGGCAGGAAATGTTTTTATCAGGTTTCTTCAGCAATGCATTTACAGAGGTGAGTGACAGATTCTGCAAGTCTTCATGACTTCTAGGGCTGGGATCCAGCCCACTTATCGGGACATCTTATAGCAGGTGTTTACACGTGGGGGTAATTCTGCAGGCTGGGCACAAACAAATCGTACTGCTTGGCTTCCAGCTATCAGTGCAGAGCAGGACAGGCCTCCCATAGGTCCTGTGATGTAGTTTCCTGTGCTATGTAGATGTGTCTGACACCTCTGGGTGTCTCAGATCATGGCAGATACCTATCTTCAGGCAACCAGATCAATCTGTAGGTATTTCCATGCAAGCTGCTGTCTGAGCTCCCAGTAGAGTCAATGGAGATCGAGTTGATGTGGCCCGTGGGGTCTGGAAAACTATTCAGCCTGGGTGGACACCTGCATTTGATAGCTGAGTCTCTCTAGACAGCTCTTTTCTCCACTGTGGTGGGACCAGCTCACATGGAGACACCTATATGAAGGCACATGTGATGACGCTTTGCAATGGGCAGGCTGATTCTTACACTGCAGACTTCTGGAAAAATACATTTTCTCACACTTGGGTTCCTGGCCATGGCACAGGAATATGTGTATTTCCACCCCTTGGAGAAGGTGAGGGTTAAGGGAGCTCCACTGCCCTTAGATTGTAAAAATCTATCAATTGCTCCCATTATCTATGTTGAACACATCATTGCCAGAGATCCTCTTGCCCAAATATTTTTAGTTTCCTCCTGCATTTTAAAGGTTAGCTGTGATAGTGTGCATGTGATGTGAGTGTTAGCACGTCTTTAGAATAAACCTTCCTGTGACACGTTCTTGAGTTTGTCATACCTTTTGTTAAAATGAGAGGGTAATGGAAAATAAATCATGTATTTTTCAAAGTTTAGATCAATAGCAAGAAGAACAAGCTGTCATTCAAACATCCACAATGATTTATTGTTATAGTTTATTAGTTGTTCCATGCTGAGAAAATCAAACTCTGCAAAATAAAAGTATCAACCACCACATTTCATGTAAAACAAGTGAGAGCAGCCATGGAGAAAGCACAACAGTGACGGTGCCCCTTTGGCCACAGCCTTTTCCAGTGGTGGCATTTTGCTCCCAGGCAGGGCCCTGCTGCTTTCTACTTGCTCTCTGTGTGTTGTATTGAAGGCTCAAGCCTCAAACACACATTTTCCCTGAGGGCCAACAAGCCCCACCGAGAGGTAAAATACAGCTCAACTGAGAGTTACAGCTTCATAATAAAGTACATATACAGCTCCCGTGCTGGAGGTGACCCGGGTTCAGACTTTTTATGTAGACATTAACAGCTAGGAAAATTAAACCCCATAACAGTTGTCCAGTCTGTAACCCACTATTGCTTTCAGGTCCCTTACCAGCAGTGTGTCTCCCTTAATTTCAAAGAAACAAAGACAGAATGCGAAGAGAGAGCCCCTGAGCCAACCTGGCTAGGGAAAGGAGGAAAAATCACTGGAGCAGTAAGAGACATATGAATCTGCTCTTGTTATCTGCATAAAAATGTGCATGCTAGGAGTAGATGAAATATTAGCCTTCTCCAGTGAAATACCTTGAGCAGGACAAGCCATGCCAGCCTAACCACAGTGCTTAACGGAGGTACGTTAGCAATAAGTAACGTGCATCGACTGAATGAAGCAGAAGAGCTTAGCACCACTGCTTGCAGCCTTCCGAGAAGCTGACAGGTGTGAAAACCTATCATATATTGTGTAAATACAGCTTGTTCTTTGCTCCCATACAAAATAACAGCATGTAATAGACCATCACACATCCATCTTTATAAAGTTATCTAGTACAAATAAGTCCTCTTCCAACCGGAATAAAAAAAGCCATGGGAAGTATAAATATCAAGGCTATGGAGTGAGAATAACTCAACAGGAATACCAAACAGTAAAACAATGACACATACACTCCATCACAAAATAGAAAACTACGCTAAGATCTCATGCTTCCTGAATTATAAGGACGGGATTCATCCCATTTTGCTTTTGTCATATGCCATGTAAGCATCTGTAGCTAATCTGGTCAATGTGGGCATCGTTTAGAGTCAATGCAGAGAAACAGGCACCTTTAGACGATGAGTCATTTGGCCTGTATATATACCTCTCTATATATCTGTGTGTGTATATAGATGGGGCATAAATAAATAAATATGCACATACATATATTTATAGGCAATAGGGTGAGATGAACTGCTCTCTAAAGGGACTTGTTCCTCCCCATTGCCTGCCTCAGACACAGATGCTTGCATTTTGTCAGATGATCCCCGTCCTACCAGGCTGAGTGTGGCTAAAAAGAGGCAGAAGACTATTCAAACTTCACGAATTCCCAATAATATAAGTACATGTCAAGTATTGTGTATGCTTGAGTCTGTCCTCAGATGCCTTTGTGCTAGGTTCTTTGGTGCTCTGCAGCTACAAAAGGAGCTGTCAAATTAATCAACTGCCACAATCTGCAGCATCCTTTTCTGAGCTGGAGGAATAATGTAGTAACTGTTGTGGAAGGGGCTAGTCCAGAATAATTGGGAAGAGTGGGACAATGATGAATGCATGTGTATACTGAGCCATGAGGCAGTCCGGTAAGGTTTTCAGCTACATGCAGAGGGTAAATGGGTTTAATTTCCTCTTCCAAGAGGAACAGTGTGAGGAGGAGAAGAGTGTGACTGTGTTTGACCCATCTGGGTAGGGAAGGGACTGGGGACATCAGGTGTCCAGCATCTCTTTTTGTGGGGAAGGTGGTGTGTGGGCTGTAATGACGGTGTCATCATCTAACATGCTTGGGCGAGCGGTCCATATGTACGCCTGGTCGCTTGGAAGAGGCTGCAGTTATATTAGCAATACATCTGCTATATGGTAGTAGGAGGAGAAGTGTTCCTGGGAAGCAGTTTCAGGCAGGGCTCTTTCCCCGTCTGCCAATGATGGGGTGCACTCCTTCCACCTGTACTCGTAGGTTGAAACTCACTCTGTCCCCATAAGAATTAAATCGTAATATTTGCTGCCTCCTTCACATGTTAGATTTGAGTGTCCAGGCTTCCTCCTCTTTTGCCACTGCTGGTCTTGGAGTTGCTGGTACTATCTGGTGTCTTCTGTGGCAAGACATCGATTTAATGAGTTTGGATCCGAACACCGCAATTCCCTGAGAAGTCTTCTCTACAGTAGGAAAAAAAGACCATACTACAGCTGGGAAGAGGCAGGTTTTCTATGGCTTCTTCTATATTTACTATGAGAAACCACGTAATACTTTTTGCAGAAGACACCACTTAGTATCTCAGTTACTATTTCATGTGGTATTGGCTATTTCATCACTTTTTCCACCACAGGGCCAGTGAAATGTACATCATTCTTGCCAATTTTTCACCTATCATATCCTCATAAATCCCACAATGGCCCAGGTAATCTGTATCATGGTTGACCATCTTCACTAAAACATGTTTTAAAGCTTTGTCTACACTTTCTATGGCTTTATCCTATTGTGAACTGGCAAAAAAGCACTGCTGATGTAGTTTCACAAGGTCCTCCTTGTCAAGAAAAATCCCCATTCAGCAGAGAACCAGAGCCCACCAGTAATTAGTAAGGAACATGAAGAGAAATGGGGATGAGGATTAGCAAAGAGAGGAGAAAAGGAGAACTCCCAAGTGTCAAATAGGGACATCTGGGATTAACTAGGCTGGGGAGCCTGTGAACAGGAACAGCCTTTGTGCATCTCAGTGTAGTAATAGAAACAGCGAGGAGGCCAGACTAAAATAAGTCTGAAGTACAAAGTTGTCATGACATGACTGAGAAATCAGGGGGATGAAGGAAGAAGAATTACGTGGTCGTGGTGGCAGATGCTCCACCAGACTTTCCACAGGTTAGCCAGAGAGAAAAAGACTGATTGCATAATCTATCTGAAACCAACATATTTACATAATTAACCTTCATTTCCCCACGGGATTCATTTTCCACCTATTATTTGAACTGCCATTCTCAGTTCCACAATGGCTGGGACAAAGCGTGCTTTTTGATTTCAAAAGCTGATTCCTCCTTTTCTTGTGCCAGTATTTAACAGCTGAACCAGACAACCCAAAATCCAGGGTCATTTATTTAATACCAAAGAAGGTATTCAGAAAACTAAGCAGTGCAATAGTGAGATGGCTGACCTGGTTGGTAGCTCTTCCACTGCTAGGGATTTTTTTTTTATTTCATGTTTTCCTGGTTCCGTCCCACTTACCGTATTCTCTGCTTGGTGAGTCACACAAAGACAGCAGGAACGATAAGTAGAACAAAAAAGATAGCTGTTAAAACAGAAAATCATCACAGTTAGTACCTGGTTTTATCTGTAATTATTGCAATTACTCCAACTGGGAGAAACAGGCAAGACCTGGGATAGGGGCTCATCTTGCCTCTATGCCCAGAGGCAACAGTTCTTCCATATTGCCCCACTGCTTTGCTCCCTGGGGCAAACAGGACCCAGCCAGAGAGGACCTCGGCAGCTAGCGAGCAACCATGGCCAAATAGCCAGGGACTACTGGCATAGTTTGCAATACTTCTCCTTCTCTTCCTTTATCTCACTCCATTATTCCTCCTTATTATAATGTGTGCTACAGTTGTCAGCAGACTGCAGCTGGAATCAAGAGCCCTTGTACAAAGTCTTGAGCACATGCACAGTAAAAGGCAATTTCTATTTTAGCAGCTAATTGTTGAATGGAAGATGAGGAAGGGGGAGAAGAAAATCTCTTTAGACTGATCTAAATGCACCAGTTTAGCTGTGAGAAAATATTTTATTTGCCCATCCTTTTTTTACTCCTTTGAAAATGTGGAAGAAAGACATCATTTAAATATTTACATTTTTCCTGTTTTTTCCAGTTGAAGTTATTCATTGAATTCACAGAAAGTCTCAGAGAAAGAAACTGAAAATTGCTTCACTTAAAAACTAGACTTTTGGTTGATCTATTTTCTTTTACATCCCTTATCAGTCTTTGAAAACCTCTCTATAAAAAGCTGAAGTGCTTAAACAGTCTCTATTTACACTTTCTTTACTGACTTCTCACCCAATACACGGACATAGATGTGTCTTGCAGTATATTTATTAGCTCTTATAACAGAGAGGGATCTCTTCAGTAGAACAGCAAATTGAAAGGCAAAGTAACTGCTCTGGGGGATGGGGTGAGGTCTGAGCCCAGTTAACAAAATGGCATACCTGTCACTGGCAGTATCACAGATGAGGAAAAGGATGGGTGAGTCGAACCTACAAAGAGAGAGAAATTCTTGACTTTTTGATCCATTTGCTCTTCTGCTGATGAGCATCAAAGCAGTGATGAGGACAGAGTCAGGCTAGGTCTGACGGCTATCCCTCCGCACAGCAGACATTAATCGCCACGTTTGTTTCTTGGCCATCAATAGATGTTTCCAGCCTGGTTATCAACATATGTGCTGATCTGATACCTGGTAACGGTGGGCATGAAGTGAACTGTATCTTTCAGGCAATGGGATCCAGCTAAGGTCTTTATTTCATATGAGACTGGGAAGGATGGCTTTCAAGGTGCCAAGCTAGGATTTGGAAACATGGCCTCAAACAGGACCTCTTTTTCCCCAGAAATTTAACTGAAAACTTCCCTGGTGCAAGAAGTTAATTTAATTTCTCCCTTATCCTGAAAAGGAAGCTCTGAACTTGAGCCACTATGAGATATGGGCAGGCTTTTAACAAGAGGTCCTGTAAGAGTGGTGTCTTGATAAATCTCTTTGTGCTAAATGCTGGGGCAAGAACTGAAAAAGGGGAGGATATTCCTTACCCAGACCCACTGAAGACATCACATCATAAAAAAGAGAAAGGCAACACTTTGGGGGGAATAAATATTTGGTGCACTAATTACAAAGACCTGACCTTGCTCAGGTTTGAGTGTACTTTTGCAGGAAATTGGAATTATTGTTCTGTTGAATTAAAGGCCAAGATGGCCTATTTCATCATCCAGTCTCAAGTTTTTCATAATCCACATTTTAAAATTTCAAATATTTGTAATCTCTGACTATTCAATAGGTCATATCATTTTCTAGGACTCGTATGTTGATGGGTTATTTTCATCACAGGAAGACATTCCTTCATCCTGATGGTACCAAGTGAAATTATCAATGGCAAAAAAATGACTGCCCTGAAAGAGGTGGAAAGACCAAACGACAAATTGTGACTGCTGTACCTGGAACACTCTGAACTGGGTACCACAGGGAAACAGACAGATCGATGAAGAAGGGAAGAAAGTCCTGGGTTAATCCTGAAATAGTGTGTCCTGTGAGTAAGGTGATTCGTCCTTACAGTCAGAGCATCAACGAGAGGCAACGATGGCAAAGTGTCACCTGAGAGGTTGCTCTGCAGGCAAAAGGGCCTGCCCAAACCATCCTGCTCTACCACATGGCCTGGTATGGGTCACAAGGGACGGCATTCGTCTCACCTACCGCTACATAGATGTGGCCTCTGAGATAGTCATCTGGCTCTGCTATAGTCACTGGGGAGAAACAAACCTTTAAAGGGTGCAATCTCACACTAAAGTAGGCTTGTGAAATAGGACATCATCAACACCTTTTCCCCTCTGGCAGTTATAAAGGCAGTCCAGCTCAGATGTGGGCGTCTATGAAGTAGACGTCTACAGTTTTGCAAGATGAATTTCCCCTTAAAGGCCCAATCGCTGGTGAAAACCATTTTTTTCCACTCTCTGTTGGTAGGAAAAGTCCTCTTGTGTTGACCTGGCATTGGCTCCCACCTCTATAAAATTCAGCCTATGGCACTCCCCTACCTCAGAGGAGGTTGGGAAGGTAATGAAAGCCTGAGGACCGTGGAGGTGGTGGACATCTAGGTTCTTCTACCTACAATAGCTCTGCCTGCCACCCAGCGAGGGCCCAAGACCTTCAGTGCTATCACAGATGCTTGGGAAAGGGGCTCTCTTTTCTCTCTGCATATTGAACTCATTCGTTGTAGAGTTAGGAGAGATGCCATCAGAAAAAGTAGGTAATTTGGGTGGCATAGAGGCTATGAAGGTCCTTTTTTTTTGGCATTAACCCATCTAAGGGCATAAAAGCAAGAAACAGAGATTTTGCAGCCTCACTTGAGAGCCCTGCTGGCTCCCTGAGCAGTAAAACCCAAGCTGCCAGACCACAGTTGTGCCAGTCCTGCTGAATCTGGGTCCATAAGGACTACAGTGCAATACTGGTGGGCTTTTTGCTGTCTCTTTGTTCAAAACAGCATCCTGGCTGTTAAATTAAGAACCAAGCCACATCGTTCATTTTTAGCTATAGACTAGCTAAACTCTGGATCCTGAAACCCTGAGTAATCATAAGGGATGCTTAGATATACCTTTTGGAGTACCTTACTGTGAAGTGACAACAGATGACTTATAGCTGCCAGGAGGAAGGAGAAAAGAGAAAGGCTTATTCTACTATCTTCTTCCCAGTATATGACAGTGTGGCTCTATCTGCTCACAAATTCCTGCAATTTTGCAGTTAGTATGAAAGGACACCCAAGACAAAGTAGGATGTGGCTGTGTCCTCCCCAGAGATATCATCTCCATCAGTCAGAGATGGCATCTCCATCAGTGTCAGAGCCCTGAGGTCGCTGATCTCTCCATCCCAAACCCCAAGCAGGTTGTTCCCTAGGATTGATTTGCTGAGCTGGGGGGTCTGGACCCTGCATGAACAGGTCATGACACCAATGTGACGCCAAAGCAGCCATCTTACCTGACTCAATAGTCAGTGGCAACCAGTTGTCACTGTAGCTGCTGTCATTGGTGCATCGCATGTCAAGGTGGGTCCAGATGATTTTGCCATTCACCTTCTCACACCTGCGGGTGCCAGAGATGGGGTGTCGCTTATCGTAACTGCTCTGACATTTGAAATGTAATACTTGTCCCAAGTAATACTGTCCGTTCAGGCTTAAAGAGGCGTGTTGAATAGTCTTGGGAGGACCACAAAAATCTGTGGGATCACAAGGCAGCACACAGTTAAAGCAGATGGATTTTACCTACTGCTTTTGTTCTTGAAACAACATGATTTGCATTCTTACAAAGTATAGACAAGCAGCATATACCAAGACTTCCTAATTCTTTGTTAGGATATAAAGTACTCATTCGCTTACACCGTATCACTTGTTCAGCCAAGATATTATAGCGATTGTTTCTTTCTGTCTGTCTGTCAAAATAATTAAAAATTACTCATCATTCTTACACTGCTTCCATGGAAATCAGTGGGAGAAGTGTTACAATAATGAATGGGCTCTTACTTACCTTTCTGGTAAAACTCTGAAAGGTTTTCTCGCTTCTGGGGTGCAGGGCTCTGTGTTTTTCTTTCTGGCTTCTGTGTAAAATCTAACTCTATCGTGGGAGCCGTTGACAACAAAATTTTCTTATCTGTGGGAGAAGTTATATCTGCTGAATTACAGCAGGACGAGAGTAAAGCCAGAGCACCCAAACTTTTAGAGGCAGGATAGAATTGTTGCAAGTTCTAATTTGCAAAGATAAGCACAAAAGATCATTTGTTAGAGCAATGGCCAAATGTGTCTTATATTGACTAACTCATTGGAAAAACACCTCTACAAGTGTAGAAAAAGGATGGTAATCACTTACCAATGCATTCAAATTCCTTGTAGTCCCAAAAAGCAACCTGTTCTATAATCTTACACCGAATTCCTGTGTACTGGCCACTTCTTCTCGCATAGCCACTGTCACATTCATAATACAGTTTGGTCCCCAGTACATATGTTTCAGCAGTAACATCAGCAAATTCGGTCCTTGGAAGAGGTGGGCATCTTTCTGCAAACAGAAAGCCTGAGAATCAGGACAGCCTGTTCATCTACTTTATTCACTGAGGACTTCACACATTTTTCTGTCTTATCAATACCAGACCATGCCCAGAACTCAGTGAAGTAAGCCTAATTCTGCTCCCAGCCACAGGGTTAAAATCACAGCTCAGGGACAAAAGTGGATGTCACAAAGGGAACATGAGGGTGGCAAAGCTTGTTTCTTTGATTATCTCTAAGCCAAGGAGAGGCTCTGAGTGTCTGGCAAAACTATTAGTTATTTTAAGTGAACATTTTTTATTTTAATTTTAGAACAATCCTGCCTTCCAAAGCCGCCTTCACATTGGAGTTAGTTGTTGACATTGATTTTATAAGTATAGATTTGTTCAGGATTCAGAAAAATCCCTTGGGAGTGTCTCCACCAAGTGATGTGAAGCCTGCATTTGTCTACACTTTTTTAGTTAGGAGGAGCTGATTCGACTCTCTTGTGTTTCTTCTACAGGAGAAAGGATGCTGGAGCAAGGATGTTCTGCAGAAGCTGGGGGTGGTGGTGGGAGGCATCAGGCCTATCTGCCTCCTCCTGCCTCTGCTGCCTGAAGCAGGCGGTTGAGCCCTTTCTTTCTGCACCCCGCAGATGGGCAACATGAAATGCTACCACCATTTTCTTAATGAAGCTGTACACAATCATATCATAGAGCTTCTGCCTGCATCAGTGAGGCATAATAAGCAAAACTAAGTCATTAAAAGTTGCAATCATCTATAAGCAAACATTGGAAAGGGGAGTAGACTCTCAGTTCTGTCTGAGCACATCATCGAGCAACTAACTGTGAAATAAGTTTGCAAACCTAAATATAACTTGTCCCAAAACAAGGGCATGAAGTGCTGCGTCATCAGCAAATCACATCTAAATATACTTCTCAATCAGTTGGAATGAATTAAGTTAGATCATTTCAGTGCACTTGAAAAGCCCACTGAAACTGAGCTGGAGACCCAGAACTTGATAAAGGCACTACTTAATGATTATTTAAGGCCTAAAGGCTGAGAAATTCAAACAGAAACTGGGCTGGTTGCGTCAGGGCTGGCATTTGGGATCTTTGGGTGCATGTGGCCCTTTACGCTTATGCATAATAGTAACAGTGATTATGAGTACAATTTCTTAGCCATTGTGTCTTCACATTTTCTGCAGCCATAATCACAAAATCATAGAATCAAAGAATGGTTTGGGTTGGAAGGGACCTTAAAGATCATCTCGTTCCAACCCCCCAGCCATGGGCAAGGACACCTTCCACCAGACCAGGTTGCTCAAAGCCCCGTCCAACCTGGCCTTGAACGCTTCCAGGGATGGGGCATCCACAACTCCTCTGGGCAACCTGTTCCGGTGCCTCACCACCCTCATAGTGAAGAATTTCTTTCTTATATCTAATCTCAATCTACCATCTTTCAGTTTAAAGCCATTACCCCTTGTCCTATCACTACATGCACTTGTAAAAAGTCCCTCTCCAGCTTTCCTGTAGGCCCCCTTCAGGTACTGGAAGGCTGCTATAAGGTCTCCCCAGAGCCTTCTCTTCTCCAGGTGGAACAACCCCAACTTAGCCTGTCTTCACAGGAGAGGTGCTCCAGCCCTCTAATCATCTTCATGGCCCTCCTCTGGACTCGCTCCAACAAGTCCATGTCCTTCTTAGGCTGGGGCCTCCAGAGCTGAATGCAGTACTCCAGGTGGGGTCTCACAAGAGTGGAGTAGAGGGGCAGAATCATCTCCCTCAACCTGCTGGTTATGCTTCTTTGGAGGCAGCCCAGGATACAGTTGGTTTTCTTGGCTGCAAGCTCACATTGCCGAGTCATATTGAGCTTCTCATCAACCAACACCCCCAAGTCCTTCTCCTCAGGGGCGCTCTCAATCCACTCTCCGCTGAGCCTGTATTTGTGCTTAGGATTGCCCTGACCCAGGTGCAGGACCTTGCACTTAGCTTTGTTGAACTTCAGGATGTTCGCATGGGCCCACCTCTCAAGCCTGTCAAGGTCCCTCTGGATGGCATCCCTTCCCTCCAGCATGTCAGCTGCACCACACAGCTTGGTGTCGTTGGCAAACTTGCTGAGGGTGCACTCAATCCCACTGTCCATGTTGCTGACAAAGATATTAAACAGTGCCGGTCCCCATACTGACCCCTGAGGAACGCCACTCACCACCTGTCTCCACTTGAACATTGAGCCATTGACCGCAAGTCTTTGAGCGCAACCATCCAGCCAATTCCTTATGCACAGAGTGGTACATCTGTCAAGTCTGTGTCTCTCTGATTTAAAGACAAGGATGTCATGCAGGACAGTGTCAATGTTTTGCATAATTAATGCAGCCTTAGCAATCAGCAAGAATGACTGTGAAAGTGCCTTGAATCCTTGATAGTTGTTCATAATTTGGTGTCTGTCCTTGACTCCCAAAGTGCCGCCTTCTTGAAACAAAGCCATGCTTTGCTGACAGCAAACGAATCAGCGACTCCCAGACCCAGTCCTGCAATGCCCTTTTCTTTTAGAGCTACCCATTGTTTTCTCGCTTTGGTACTTTCTGCCTTTTTTACTTTTCATTATCTTGCCACTTAGTAAAAGACACAAAGTTTGAAGAAGGCAACAATGAAAAGTATTGTGAGCAGCTAAACAGCTAAGCTGTGTAAGGGATATTTTAATTTCCTTGTATCTTTGTGTTATCAAAAGATTTGCCTTGTAAACTACATCAGACTGTGGCTTAAAGAGAAGCGACTGTACCCGAAATAGTTAACCACATGGTTTACCACAGACTGTCAGGGTGATTAAAATTAAAGAGTTATCAGATTAGCAGCAAGTTGAGATCACGTACTCTCACTTTCCCTGAAAGCTAAAAGCATGTTTCCCTCAAGACTTCAAAAGCCTCTTTGAAGAAGACTGCAGATCTGAATCTCAGCACGAGGCACTCAAACCTACAACTCTTTAGTCTCTTCTTAAGAAAACCCACAGTATTTATCCTACTCATCATAAAGGGCAACCATTGTTTTAATTGATGATCAAATGAAGTTAGGGTTCTTCTGAACTTGCACGCATTAGATAAGGATTGTGCAGAAATGGTGCACACAGGTGACAGTGAGCAACACCCATCAGGCTGGCACTCTTGGATCAACTCATCCACATTGCAGCTGGATCACAGAATCCTAGAATCATAGAATGCTTTGGGTTGGAAGGGACCTTTAGAGGTCATCTAGCCAACCCCCCTGCAGTGAACAGGGACAGCTTTAACCAGATCAGGGTGCTCAGAGCTCCATCCAACCTGACCTTGTATGTTTCTAGGGATGGGGCCTCCACTACCTCTCTGGGCAACCTGTTCCAGTGTTTCACCACCCTCATTGTAAAAAATTTCTTCCTTATATCCAATCTAAATCTACCCTCCTTTAGTTTAAAACCATTACTCCTTGTCCTGTCACAATAGGTCTTGCTAAAAAGATTGTCCCCACTTGGGTCACAACAACCCCATGCAACGCTACAGGCTTGGGGAAGAGTGGCTGGAAAGCTGCCTGGCCAAAAAGGGCCCTGGGGGTGTTGGTAGACAGCCGGCTGAACATGAGCCAGCAGTGTGCCCAGGTGGCCAAGAAGGCCAACAGCATCCTGGCTTGTGTCAGGAATAGTGTGGCTAGCAGGAGCAGAGAAATGATTGTCCCCCTGTACTCAGCACTGGGGAGGCCATACCTGGAATACTGTGTCCAGTTTTGGGC